CCTGAGCCGGTGAGATTTGAACCGCTGAACTGCTGATAGCAGTCAGCTGAAGTGGCCTGCAGTACTGCACTCTACCCACTGTGCCACCTCGGCTTATAAAGAAACCCTGCCAAAAAAGTCCCTTTCAGGTTTCTGTACCACAAGAAACCTTTCCTCTTCTGAAAAAGAGCTCTAAAGACCAGTATGGAAAATGACAAGGGGTTTTCTAATGAGGGACTTAATGCCTTCCGATTACCTCCAAATGTTTTGCAACTATCAGAAAAAAATAATTAGATCAGGTCTTCTCAATCTTGGCAACTTTAAATTCTGTTGGACTTCCAACTCCCAGAATTCCTCAGCCAGCATGCTGGCTGAAGAATTCTGGGAGATGAAATCCATGCAGCTTAAAGTGACTAGAGTTGAGAAACACTGAATTAGATCGAGTAGATAAAAAAAGGACTTTGTGAAGGGACCTGAAAGCAAAACTGAGAGGGAGAAGTAACAAAAGTCAGAAAAAATAGTCTCTCACAGGAGAGGATCCAGCTGGCAATTAAAAAAAAACATTTTTGTGTTCCTCCTAACTGATACAAAAACCCTCTCTTTTAAGCAGCTACTATTCTTTCCCATTTTTGTTAAACTTAGGAAATGCACCAGTTCAAAAAAGCCTAGTTTACTGTAACTACTGTACAGATTTTTAACTGGTTTTTCTAAAACATAGTTTGAATAAAAAAAAAATCAATGAAAACATTGAAAGCAAGAAGTTGATATTTCTCAATTAAAGGTGGGATGAGTTACAATTTCACCCGGTCCTCTACACAGGCACAGAGGTGCACAGTTCAATGGCTCAAGAAGATCCCTCCACACCCGCCCTGGCTTTCCCATGCCTTGATCTCTCAAAGGCCCTTTCTCTTCATACCCAGCAGGACGGCCAAGATGGTGAGTAGCACAAAAGCATTTCTCTGGAAGAAGCCCTTGACGCTCTCTCGGGTGATGTTGTACATTTGCTTCCTGGCATGTGCTGCCCGCTTCTCCAGGGCATGGCGGAAGCGATGCACCCGGCTCCCCGATTCAAGTGGCTTAGATGTCTCCTCATTCAGGAAGAGGCTGTTGATGTGGGTCTGATGCTCGCCCATAATCGGACTCAACATCCAGAGAGTCAGGAGCCCCAAGAAGCTGTAGAGGGAAAAGCAGAGAGAGGATTTAAGAGGCTGGGAAATATGGGCATGCCCCGTCTCCAAACATCAGCGCTGATCAGCTGTTCCGGCTGCATCGCCATCAGCACCGGTCAGCTGTTTGGAGACAGAACATGCCAATCCGAAGCAGTCAGCCATCGGGAGCACCTGGGATGCCAGTCACTGGAGCCATGCTGTCTCCGCAGCCATCACTGTTGTCCCCCCCCCACATTCCGCTAGGTATGGCAGGCCAGTCAGGGCTTGACAATACGGCTCTTTCCCCACATAGCCGCTTCAGTCCTTGTTTACTGATTTAACTATCTACCATATTTTTTGAAGTATAAGACGCACCTTTTTCCCTCAAAAAAGAGGGTGAAAATCTGGGTGCGTCTTATACACTGAATACAGCATGTTCTGCCTCCTGAAACCCCGCCCCCTTCACCAAAATGGCTGTGCATAGCCTTTAGGAGGCTTTCAGAGTGCTCATGGGGGCTGGGGAGGACAGAAATGAGTGAAAAATGAGACTTTTTTGCTCAATTTTCCCCCCC